AATGTAATAGGCTAGATAATAAGCTCTGATTAAAATTGTGTTAAGAGCTTACTTAACTAGGTTTATGAGGCATTTTTCATGGCTGTAGTTGAGAACCAAGTTGCTGTACTAAACACAAGGCATTTTCCAGAGCTATGTAAACATTAATTTGTCAGAAATTACAAGAGACTTTTAACTACATTACATTCATTATGCATCTTGTAATGATATTCATGTCAGGGAATGATACTGATACATAGTAAGTCAAGAGTCAGTCTCTGAAAATGAAGAACAAAAGAGCACTGTAAACTACAAAGTCTGTGTTTTCAGGTGATCTAACTATGTATTTCAAGAAGGAGTGTAAATAGAAATATGAACTCCATTTTCCATCTGAAGTGTGGGAACTAGATTTTCCTTTTGTTTTTCTATGAGTGGTTCAGTGGAATGAATTCTTAATTTCTTGACAATTTAACGTGCCCTCCTGATAGAAAATGCAACTGCTTTTCTCTTTGCTTCAAAATATCCATAGATGAGGTTCGAACAGGGTTAGAGAGCACAGAGTTGATCTCCAGTTGCCCAGCCATATTGTTGGAATGTATCTGAGCAGTAGACCAGGGATAAAATGTTTGAATGAAATCTAAATGTGTTTCAATATTAATTTTAGTAATATAATACTTGTTAAATTCTTTTTAAAATATTTGCATACTTACTGTTTTTAGCTTTTAAATATTGTTTTAATGATGTAAGTTACCTTGGGTCGTTTTGGGGAGAAAGGAAGGATAGAAATATTTTAAATAAATAAATATTGTCTGCAGAATGTAGGGTTAGTCTACCCTTCCCACCCTAGATTTCTTCATTTCCATTTTATCTGAAATACATCACTTGTAAGCTATGTATAACACACTTTGCGTTGCTTAAAAGCAAATTGGAATCGTAAACCTAGCTAGCTTTTATTGAAAGTAAAACACGTTAAGCCTGTGACCAAAAATCCTGCAGTGATCAAACATCAACTGAAAAGGTCTTTGTCAATATGAAATAAGAGGAAAGCCTGAATATTATTAATTTATTATTTTTATGTCAAATGTATTCATTATGTTAAAATCTTGTAATAAGTACAGAGTACCTATCCTTTATATCAGTATCTTCACAGTAATGAAGTTCTGGTGAGTAATCAATGAGATGATTCACTTCTCCGTGGGCAGTTGGGTAGAGTAGATGCTGCATGTCTTTCCTTTGCAACACCATGGCTGAAATCCTGTTGCTGTAATTTATATTGCATAAAGCTAATGACACTAACAGTGATTTTTTGGAAGTGAAACATTCCCAACTTCTCTCCCAAGGATCCTGTGCAATTTCTTACATTGTCAGGAAGCTATGAACACTGCAGGACAGGACAGCCAGGATGACGGAAAAGCTCAAATTCAGGGAAGAGGCCTGAAATATCTATAATCAGGTCCCCTTCCCTCCTTTATGTGGCCAAACATAGATTTTTTTTAGCTGCAAAAGGAAAATTCAATTTTTGTTTCCTTCCAAACACCATCTTAACTTAGGTTGAGCCACATAGGTATAGTACATGAAGGTTGCTTCCATGCTGTCTTGTTGTTGCTGTTGTTTTCCTGGAACTGTCATCATTTATCAATTTTTATTTTTATGGTAAACACAGATATTATAAACAAGTCATTGTTGCAGTCAGAGTATTTGTGGTGATTTTTCTGACTTGCAACATAACTGCATTGGAGCAGCCCCTTCCACAGACTGGAAAAGCACTACTGTTATTCCTGGAAAGAGAAGCAGTCCTTGATGTGGACAACGTTAACAATGCCCCACCATTTCCTGATTCCAGTGCCCTTTTGTGCCTTACACTGTAGCCCCTTCCTCCATTACCTAGTTTAGCACAAGTGTGCAGTAACAAATGTATAGCATTTCAAAAGAAAATCTCATTGGCAAAAGAGGTGAAAGGAAAGCAGAAATCCCATTAGATCCTTCCTTGCTCTAAAATATCAAAGGGCCTGGCTTGCATTTTTAGGAAATGACCTACTAGAAGTATGTCTGTGAAGATTTTCAGTCATCCAGGTGAGGTTATCTGGAAGTTGAGTCATGGCAACTGGATTTCTTTCTCATTGGGTTGAAACATTTCTCCGCTCATCCAAGCAGCTTCTTCAGTCTGCAGTTCTTCAGTCTGAAGAAGTTCCTTGTATGAGTAGTGAAAGAAGGCCAGTTGCCAGGACTCAACTTCCAGATCTACTAGAAGCTCTGTAACATAGAATTTATTCAATTTCAGATATTGCTCTACACCATTTCCTCCACCTTCCTCCCTTTTCTAAGCATTGGAAATTAAGTCATGGTGCTTGGACCTGAGACAAATCAAATCAGACTCACAATTGTTATGTGACAAGTGAATCCTGCTCTATGGAGACAAATATACAAATATACAGGATCAGAGGGAAGCTTATTTTGCCCTTTGATAATCTGTCAATTGGGAGGAAGTATTCTCCTCCAGCTTCTGTTCCCAGTTGTGTATGGATGCTGAAATTAGCAATCAGGTTTCTTGATCACTTGCAGCAAACAGACACACTGATTTTAATTTAGATATCTGTGCATCTTGTTTGCTGGTGGCATCACATTAGTATCAGTTGCTGGAGCAAAACGATACTGTCAAGACAGCAGACTACTAGGTTTTTCTTCTCCAAGAATTTGTTTATTCCACTTGGGTAGTTTAGCTTGTGTTTGCTAGACAGACTGAAGATTTCAGAATACTGTGTTCCTGTTCCTACTTTGGGAGCTATTTAAAACATGCACATCCAGTGATCTCGTCTCCCGCTGCTGCAGTTTCATATGTAGAATAATAACATTTTCTGTTTCTAAGGAGATTAGTAACCTTGGCACAGGCACCTAATTGGATAATTTATAGTCTTGCTCAAAGTATTAGTCTCTTTTGCCAATGCTGCCGTAATGGAATTTTGCATTCTAATTTTAATGTGCATTTAAAAGATGGTACAGGCTTTGGTTTATATAGGAACAGCATGCACTTGGAGACTGCATAGGGTAACTCAACAAATACATTTTTATTGAAGTGTTGTGAATAGATACCCATTTACTTTAGACAATATATTTTTCATAACTTTCAGTAACTGCACCATGTGTTTAGGTATCCTGCTGTGGAGCCAGAGGTTGGGAGTTCAATTCCTCAATGTGCCTCCTATGAGCAGTGCCAACTGTCACGCACCCCCAGTGTCCCCTGTTTGTTTCCCCCCGCACAGGTTCACCTTCGGACACGACCTGTTCTTTTCACCCTTTTTCGCTGCCACCAGAGGGTATTACCCTCACTCTACCAATTATGAATCTCAGACTATTGCTGCCAGATATAACAAGGTTTATTTAGGGTTTGGTGGGTAATTCACAGAAGAAAAATCAAGGATGTTCTTTTATTATTCATTCAATATATGTGGATTTGATTACAAGTTAGCTTTCTTCGATTCATTCACTTTAATCAAGGTCTCAATATATTCTATGTATTTCTTATTACTTTTAACTCTTTTATATTCTCTAACACACCAACTTTCCCATCTCTGGTCTAATCACTTCACAAATCTTCTCCCTAACTGATTCTCTGTCTCACCCATTTCTCTTGACTCAGCCCCTCCTGTCCTGTCATAGGCTCCTGCACTAGAGCTCTACAGTGACTGACAGGAGTGCCATGTGGGCTGTCCTCCACACCAACCTGTGTGGCCTTGGTTAAACTGCACAGTCCCAGGGTACCCCCAGAAGGAGGGAATGGTAAACCACTTCTGAGTATTCTCTATCTCGAAAACATGAATAGGGTTGCCAGAAGTCAGAATTGACTTGATGGTTCATGATTATATGTAAAATATATTCATGTATATTTTTGCTCATGGAAGGCCAAGTTAGGGAAGCTTCTTTCTCATCCAAAGCACTCTGGTTTATCTCATTCAGCAGAGACATGTGGCCCACTATGCAGTATTTTTTTGAGATGGAGGCCTGCTAGCAGAAGAGGAGAAGTGAAAGTCTGATTCTGCCAGTCTAGTTGCACATGCCTAAATTTGAATCCAGCATGGTTCAAAATTCTGTGTGAAAAGGGGAGCAACACTTCTTGGGAGCATCATGAGCAAATGCTTCACCTTTGGAAAGGAAAATATTTTGGGAGCTTCTCACATTTTAGTACTTTACTGCCAAAGCAGAAGCTATGAAATCTCCCAAAAGAAGATCTGAAATCCTCAAGGTCAGCTGCTGAGCATCACTAAGTCTTGTGAAATGTACAGCATAGTTTGCAGCTCAGCCTGGGTGTCAGTAGTGAGACAGCTGATAGACATTTGGCTAAAGAGAAGAAGCACAGTGGCTCAGTTACGACTTGCATGTCTGATTTCCACTACTGTTGCTGACTGTTCCTGATCTCAGTAGATTGGGATGGAAGGAGCTTCAATATGTACAGGAATGAGTGCAACAGTTCTGTTGTTAACTATAATTGTACTCAATCTTGAACCCCAAAATTGTTATTGGACTTCTACACTCTTAAACCCTGGCTGAGATTTCTGGGAGATATCTGGAGGTGTATGTTGAGAGCCATTGACTTAACCTCTGGTTCATTAATGCTGCCATATGATACACAGGGAAGGGACCAGAAGACCCATGAATGCATATACTGTGACAATTGGCTGTACTTCAGAAACGCATTCATAGACACATCCTGGAGGCAAGCTCTAAACTAATGTCTTCTCCATGCAGTCCTTCCTCCAGTATTACTTATCTCTTCTAAACACAGTGTGGCATAAGTGATCGGATATGGGCAGGTGCAACATGTTAACAAGTATTAGATAATTTGGAACATAGTTTACTCATGAACATTACTGAGCTTACAGGAAGCAAAGCATGTACAGTAATCCCTTTTCATCATCTTGCACACCCTGCTGGTTATAAGGATGCTTTTCATATGGATGGCTTGTGGAGGCTAAATCATGACATGCAAGTTGAAAAATCAATAACCTGTCTTTCTGTTGATCTAGTATGGAGGCAAGAGGAGCTTGAGCGCATCAACAGCACTTTCACTGGAGCTGAACGGAAGGCAGCTCTCTATGCGCTTTTAGAAAAAGAGGCCCAGCTGATTGCTTCCATTGGGAGACACAAAATACATGCAGATGAAGAGAACCAGCAAAAAGCAATCCTGTCCTTTCTGGAAAAGGTCAGTGAGATAATTTCTGTCTGAACACTGAATGTACCCAGAGTTCAAAAACCTGAATTAACATTTACAAACTAGCAGCAGACTGAAGAAAAGCGCAGTAATTAACTTGACCAGTTGAAGATATGATTTGTGGGCTGTATGTATGTCTGGCAGTAAAATTGGCTCATTAGACACAGTTATTAAAAGCCTTTATATATGCCCATAAAATTTGATGAGTACTTCCTTTCACCTAAGAACTGAGAAACCACCACTTACATCTTAATTTACTTAATTGTGTCTTCTTATTGAAGATGATGAGTACTGTGCACTGTATAACCCTCAATTAATGCTACATTAGAGGCTCAAGTGCCTAAATGTATTAAAGTAGCTGCATTCATATTTCCCTGAATTTACAATCTGAGAATACCTATAGAGAGGATCTTTCTTACTACCTTCTCTCTGTGTTGCAGGATCAGACTATTTTGTCTCGCATACTGAACACTACGTGACATTTTTTGATCATGTATAAGGGTATTAATGAAGAATTCTACCTTTTAAAAAGGGGACGTCTACATGTGCTTGTTTGAGAAAGGAACAAAGCATCACTAATTGAATCAGTGGCCATGATCCTGTTTTCCACGTGTTGAGAGAAAAAAGTGGAAGGGCACTGAAACAGAACACACACATACACACGCACACATGTATGCCTTTCCTGTGCATGGGTGCTCTTCTGGAAACTGCCAAATGTCAGATAATGCATGACATGCCTCCTTCCCATGCCCCACCTTGAAGTGGCCCCCAGTTTTTCAAGCCCTAGCACACCACACTGCTATACCATCTGGGAGGTACAGTACATTGGGAGTAACTGCCAATTGGTTGCTTCAGGGTGAGGGGATGGGAATGCTTCAGCTTACCAACAGTGCTGTACGACCAGTGACATGCTTGGAGTGGTATCAAGATGGCATGACAATCCTTTGCAAAACTTTGTACAACATCTATTGCTGGTTGTCACGTGGTGGCCTGCCTGTGCCTCCAGAATCACATGGCTTCAAATCTAAGGCACTGGAAGGGTTTGAACAGGGATCTGAGTACCATAGAAAAGCTGTTGGATGACTCCTTCACCACAGATGCAGTGCTAACAATTAGCTCACTTAATTCCCATCCTATCCTGTCATATTAAAAAGATGTTGCATACAGCGTCTGTAGTGATTTAAGCAACCAGAGGTCATTGGTAGCTTCAATTCCCTACATCTCCAGGTAAGGATGAGGAAGAATCTTGCCTGACATGCTGGTGCAGTGCTTCCTGTCAGTGCTAGCCTGGATTGAGCAGCAGTGGTGTGACTCATTATAAGATAGTTCCATGCATTCTCGTGGAGTTTAAAAACAGATAATTAGCAGATTGGAGAATTTCAGTTTCTACGATAAACTAGATGGCTGTAAATCAGTTAAACCTTAAGCTACCTCATTTTTAATGGGTTTCTAATTTAATTCTACAACATTTCTGTATACCTACACCATATTGTATGTATAAGCATCTACAAGCTTAGCATCATAAAAAACAAACAACAGGTTCTGTAAATGCTGTGTGGTATAGAAATATTTACATCAATGATAAAAAGGCTTTACAATTGCGTAAAGTTTTCCCTTGACATTTAGTCCAGTCGTGTCTGACTCTAGGGGTCGGTGCTCATCCCCGTTTCCAAGCCATAGAGCCAGCGTTTTGTCTGAATACAGTTTCCATGATCACGTGACCAGCACCGTTACCTTCCCACCATGGTGGTACCTATTTATCTACTTGCATTTTTAGATGCTTTCAAACTGCTAGGTTGGCAGGAGCTGGGATAAGTGACGGGAGCTCACTCCATCGCGTGGATTCGATCTTATGACTGCTGGTCTTCTGACCTTGCAGCACAGAGGCTTCTGCGGTTTAACCCGCAGTGCTACCACATCCCTACAATTGCATACAGCAGTATTAAAATCTAAATTTACATATTCCAGGAAGGACGCACAGGAATACATCAAAAGTTTCCTTTTCCATCTAATGTGTTCCAATTATGATTTAAGCATTATACACCTTTTAGTCATTTAGCCATGACTTTTCTGAGAACACACACCAGCTAGACACTTCTTTGCTGTTAAAATTATTGCTACCATTATTAGATTTCTTATTAAATTCGTATGTTCTAACTATACTGCATTGAAAACAGCAATAGATAACATATATAAAGTACTTTATGCCACTATAAATTTAAAGAATGACTGACTTAACAAGTGAGTTGCAGATTTTAGTTAGCTTCCATAGTGCTCTGCTGAGACAAGCCTCTTTCAGCATCAGTCAGCTCCAAATACTCCAAGTAGTCTGTGTATATGAGTGTTTTATTTCTATGTTTTTCCTCTCTGTTGTTGGTATTGATGGTCCTTTAATGAATCAGAAGGCCTGAGTGCTTGGCTAGATTCTTTCTATGGGTTCTAATCATAGTACAGTGGCGCCTCGCAAGACGATGTTAATTCGTTCAGCGAAAATCGCTGTTAAGCGAAAACATTGTCTTGCGAAACATGTTTTCCCATTGAAATGCATTGAAAACCTGATAATCCATTCCAGTGGGAACAGATTGTCATCGTAAAGCGAAAATTGCCATAGGAAACATTGTTAAGCAAAACGCGGTTCCCAATCAAAGACAGCCGTCTAACGAAATAGAGACCATTAAAAGACTCATATAGCAAAGCAAGACCAAGGTGTCAAAAACATCGTAAAGCGAAAAACAGGGACCTAAAATTTAACCGTCTTGTGAGGCAAGGTCCCTAACATGGTAACGCGAAAATTGCCCATAGAAAACATCGTTAAACGAAGCGCAAGATCACTCCGAAAACCTCATCGTAAAGCGAATTCGTCATCATGCGAAGCAATCGTCTTGCGATGCACCACTGTAATATGAAGAATAGGAATTTAGAGTCAGAGAACTGTTCGTTCATCCCTGCTTTGGAATGAAAGTAGATGATCCCAAGAATAGTACAGTAGATAAACAAGGTTTGCGGCTTGATTAGCTCAAGCAAAAAAATACATTGGAATGAGAAATTCATTTTTTTAAATCTAGAATACATATGTTGAGTTTAGTTGCCGACCTCCAGATGTCAGTAACAGCCACTGCTGCAATAAAAATAAAGGTATAAAGACTGAAACTTTCAAATGCACAGTTTTTCTGACTTAAGAAATGTAAACTAGGCTTATAGTTAATGCCACAGATTGGTAATGGTATGATGGTTCTGTAATTGTTTGGATAAGGCAATGAGTGTTAGGGAAGAAGGATATGAACAATAATGTCAGGCATATGGAATAACACATTTCAGCCTTCATTTATCATTTATTTATAAATAAATTGTACTAAGAAATAGGACCTCAACCGAGTTCTCATTCTTAATGGCAATTCACGATTTTTTGTTTTAAAACATTTTTGCCATTGGATGGAGGATGAAGAGGATAGTAAGCCAACTATTTCAGGGTAATATAATGAAATCTCCCTTTGAGGTGCTACATATCTACTACCTGTCTAATGTTCTCAGCTCTTAAAGGAATCCTGACAGCTAAGACTAGTACCTGTATAGAGAAATGAGATGCCTTAGGGGCTCAATACAAGGAGAGATCTTTGAAAATACAGTTTTATAATGTGGGCTAGAACAGAGGTCACCAACCCCTGGTTCGTGGCCCGGTGCCAGTCCGTGGCCTGAGCTGGATCAGGCCTTGGAGACAGACCTCCCACCACCCACATGCACTCCCCTCCCCACAGCTGCTTTGCGCACGGACGTGCGTGCCAACACCAGCGTGAGCGCTCCCCCACCCCTTCACGCATGCACCCAAGTGTCTGAGCGAAGGGGTGGGCAGGCAGGCAGACACTCCTACGCTTGCGTGAAGGGGTGGGGGAGCACTCACGCTAGTGCTGGCAGATGCATGCGTGCTCCTTCACTACTTCATACGCTTGCGTGAAGGGGTGGGGGAGCACTCATGCAGGTGCTGGCAGGTGCATGCGTGCTCCCTCACTGCTTCACTCATGTGCCCAAGAGTGTGTGCCTGCCTGCATGAGTGTGGAGGGTGCCCCGCCTTTCTCAAAGGTTCAGCCAGTGTGCAGTCTCAAAAAGGTTGAGGACCGATGGGCTAGAAGTCATTATTAACAGGTGGGTGTGCAACTTGTTGATGAGTTAACTATACTGAGTGTTCATTAGTGGTTCCTTTTCATCCTGGATGAAAGTGCTAAGTGAGGTACAACAGGGCTAAATCCAATTGTTAGCTCCAATGGAGAAAATACATTTAATGATGGGGACTGGTTGAGTCAATATGTGTAACTTCCATTGATTTAATGGGTCCAATCTAATACATTTAATGATGGGGACTGGTTGAGTTAATATGTGTAATTTCCATTGATTTAATGGGTCTAATCTAAGACTACAGTGGACCCTCGACTTACGGAATTAGTCCATATTGGAACAGTGGCCACAGGACAAAAAAGTGTGTAGGTCGAATATGCATTTCCCATAGGAATGCATCGAAAAACCTTTAATCCGTAACCGGTCGTTTTTACTCCATAGGAACTAATGGAAACAGGCTAATCCGTACTCTACCAATAGGGGGAGAATTTTCTTTTTTCTTCTTTTGACCTAAGGTGAATTTAGATCAAAAAAAGTTCAGGAAAGGAGTGGGGGAGGCAGGGAACAGTTTTAAAATCACTTTTAAAATCTTTTTTTTCAACCAAGCCATTTTAAAGCATGTTTAAACACAGAGACATGACTCTGAACTGCATTGTTAAGCCTGTTTGCAAGCAAGCATTCTTCCTCCACAAAATCCCTCAGCACAAAGAAAGACATGACTCTGAACTCCATTTTTAAGCCTGTTTGCAAGCAAGCATTCTTCCTCCACAGAATTCTTCAGCACAAAGAGAGACATGACTTTGAACTCCATTTTAAGCCTGTTTGCAAGCGAGCAATCTTCCTCCATAGAATTCCTCAGCACAAAGAAAGACATGACTCTG